AATAAGTATTGCCTTTAATCTTTCTAAAGTTGATTTTTGTTGAAAAAGGCATAGCATTAATTCATATAAAAAGGTATGGTTTCCATACAAATTTTGCCCTGTAATTTTCTAAAAAATTAAACTGGTGTAAAAGTTGAAAACTTTCTCAACTTTCTCAAACTCAAAGGTCAAAGGGTTTAAAATGCTGGTCTCAAAATAAAGTCTTGTCAGAAGGAATACACATGTGATAAAAGAAATCTCAGGTACTTCCTATTCAAAAGTTAATTGCCAAGGGTAAAGTTATTTTAAAAGTGGGTCAAACTCGAATGTCAATTACAAACGTATTTGAACCTGTTGAAAGTTCACAATACACATGATAAGCATGAAACCCTAGTACAATGTACCTACTGATCAAATTTTAGGCCAAAATTAAATTTTGATATTTTTCCTGTTAAAATGGGTAAAAATCCAAGGTGGACGTCAAGGGATCAAGTGGTGAAAATTGATGGTACCCAAATAAAAGTTCTTGTCGCAAGGAATAAACCTATGATATGTGGAAGCCATATGTATAGCCAATCCCACTTAAAACTTACGGGCAAGGTTAAAGTTTCTGCAGATAAAAAAACAGACAGACATAATATAAACACAAGAAACAAAATATGTATATAGTCATAAGGAAAAAAAATCTACTATTTTGGAGTCACAAGTTCGATTGTATTTTCAGGGACAGGGATTGGCTAGGGAGATAGGATCCCCTTTGGATTTTGCTTTGTTATTTATTTAAGACTATTTACTGAAGCAAATAAAAAATGACTTGGGACATCCTCCCTCGTAGAAAACACGACACCACTAACATTGTTTTTATTTAATATATTTGTTTCATTTTTTTTTTGCTGGTCAGAAAATTCGAGGCTGGATTTTTTTGTCGGAGGTGTGAACCCCCCTCCCCCTCCCGAAAAAAAAATCTAGATCTGCATCAGTAACTGAGTGTTACAGCACAACTTCATAAAATATAAACCAACTTATTTTAGTACATGAACCATATTGCACCATGTGCTATCCTATTCGGCAAATCTTGGCTGATTCCGTCGCCAAAATCAGATGAAGTACGAATCGATCGAGGTGTATCGAGTGGTGCTTATACCCAATATGAAGCAGAAATTTTCTATGGATAGTTCAAGTGCAAATTTTAAAGTAATTCATAACAAACGATTTCCATGTAGCCTATTAAAAAAAACGCGTCGTGAGTGTGTGTGTATGTGGTATCGAGGGGGGGGGGATTAGTAAATTTAAAAAGTTCCAATTATGAGCAAAAGATTTATCAAAATCTAATGTACATAATTAATTAAATTCTGTTTTTTCTTCAGGCTGGTAATGCACCAAGCATATTAAATACATAATCATAAGCTCGAAGTCATAGGTCACATAGTCACAGGGACTGAGAATTTTATGTCTGACAATTTGACGAATACATGTACAGTGTAAATTTACTATAACTATAGAATTATTTCGACTTTTTCCTTCCCAATATATATCATTAACCTGCTCCAAGATCCGATTTTCGTTATTTGAAAATTCAAATAAGTTTAAAATAAATCAAGGTATTTTAAAAATTCTTAATGCAGTTCATTTGCATTTATTGATGAAACAATTCCTCTGAACAATATTCCAACTCATTTAAAAGAAACCTTCAGTTTCATACAAGATGTGAAGAGAACTTTCTGACCATGAAAAAACACACCATCTCCATGTACCTTAGAATAAATTTTCATCTTTAAAGTGGACATACAACATCCTAGTTCATCTATTCATCAAAAGAATTTTTAAAAAATGTGTCCATCATTGATTATTTTGATATCAATTAACATATAAATTTAATTTTTTTTCAACACTAAGGAAACTAGAGTCTGTTTTTAATTAGATATGCACATTATATATTGTATGAATACTTATGTATATGTTCCAAAACATACATTCAACACATGTTAAACATACATTGCAATTTTACCTGTGTATACCCTTTACATACTTTTATATAAACTCGTACTTTTCAATTTAAAATTAAATTTGGTACACGAATTTTAAGGGTTTGAAAGTTTTCAATAAGCTGAGAAAGAAATTTCATTTTTATGTTATAAACTGGAGTGGTGTCAATAAAAAATCAAATGATTAATAAAAGTAAATCTACATGTATGTTAACTCACAACGATTGACGATCTTTTCATGAATACTTTTATCAGACACGGTGCAGTGTGTGATGATGTCCAGCTGTAGTTTGTCTATGAAGAGGTCGTACATCTTCTCCGGTCTGTCCGGTATATACAGACATCTCTCTCCCTCACTCCTCTTATACCACCAGGACCGGCAGTATTCTGATATCACGTCACGTGACGCCGTGGTCAGGAAAAACTCCAGATCACTGTCCTCAATCAGACATTCCATCACAAACGTATACATGACTTCATCTCTAATGTTCCCTGATATAAATATGATGTTGCTGTTCAGTGCATTAGTTATTTTGCCAGGAGTGTTTGACATGCTGATTTCATCATATATAGGCACAGCTGTAAAATATCTTTCCCTGAGTTTGTTCAATACTTCTTTGTGGGAATCGTTATTTACATCAAACGTATACTCATCCACCATCAGAACACCGTACAGTAGACATCTCACAGTGGGCTCGTATTTATGATACTGATCTGAAGTTACACAGGTGTAATTTACATTAAAAATAAATTACATACAATGAACATAGTTTCAATTGGTTACGTAATTTCCTACGGTTATACGCGTTAATATATAAAAATTAGGATCGTAAAGTGATAACGTTAAAATAACATCAAGCAAAGAAGCAAATCATAACAACTCTTAGCAAATTTAAGGTTATTCATTCGTCAGCTTTTTAGAAAAGTACACGCAGAAGCTTTTACTTCAAAACTACTTTTTAAAATTCAATTTTTGTAACATATTTAAATTCAACATTGTAAATCTTTTAACATTCAGTGGAAAAACTGCTTAAAAATCCACAAAGAAGCAAGATTTATGAGGGACTACTGTATACAGGGTTATTTTCGCCCCGTTTAATTTTCGCCCTTTCACACTTGCAAACAACTTTGCCCCATTTAATATTCGCCCAATAACAGTTTTGTTAAAGAAATTATACTGTATTGTTTCATTTCGCCCCGTTTTAAATTCGCCCAAATGAGGGTAGGGCGAAAGGGGCGAAAATAAAACGGGGGCGAAAATTTCCCTGTATACAGTATTTCTTTTGGTGGAAGGATATTCATGCTTACATCTAATCAAATATAATAAGGGTTAAAGTAATTAACCAACGAGATGAAATTTAAGTGCAAAGAGGCCAACTTAAATGTACCGTAGATCAGTAGGATGCATATTGACCCCCTATTTTCTTTGCAATTTTGAGTTACACTTTATGAGTAATTATCCAAAATATACTTATCAAAAAATCCTAGATATAACAAATTTCAGGAGTGACTTACCTTAATAACCATCAAATAAATGCATTAATTTCCCGTGTTTTTCTTTCGCCCTATAACACTGTGTGTGATTTTGCTCTGTTTTAAATTCCATATACACTTTTCAAAACTGTTCACTAAAGGAAAGTTATATTTTAGTTTTCAAAACTTGTTTATGTTGTATTTGATATATTTTTGTGCTACTTAAGCAAAACAATAGAGCATTTGAATTGATACAAATGTGAATAGCTACAGTGTTGACTGAAGCGTGACCATTTCATAAAAAAATAATAATAATGTCCATACTTTTTGGAGTAATCAATTGTTATATTTTTTGGCATAAGTGTTCTTTATGTTCGTACAGATCAAACAAAATACAATTTTTGCATAATTTGAGCTTAGAGGCATGCCAAAAAATCTCGTTCGTACGATGGCTGATAACAGCCGCCACTTGACAACTTAACTTACTGTCTTCTGTACATGTAAAATTTGACAATTTAGCACAGACACAACACACAAAAGCCTTTGTTGGTAAATGTACATTTACTAATTGACAAATTCTCCATAATGCACAGAAACTTTTGTTGATTTTTGTGTACGTTCGGTATTCCGCAGCGATGGAGTCAATAAAAGTATAATTGATGCAAATCACCCATATTCACCAAACGCTGGCTAGACAATTTACGGCAGCAGATTGCAAGGGATGGATCCTAGGTTTTCTTGGGTAAAGAAGAATAATTTTGATATATCCCACCATTTATTTCTATCATTGATATTTCTACATTAAAATGAAAAAAAAAAATTACGTAGCCTATCAGGTAACGTCTAGGTATCAAACCGGTACTTGTTTTCACCATAAAATTCCATATAGAAGTAAAAATAGTAAAAAAGGTACATGTACTTGTTTACTTGAAGCAATATTTAGCACACTGTAAAAAATGATGTTTAACTTGTGTATGATTTTTAAACAGTCGTGTTTTACAATTAAACATAGAAGGTTTAAAAACAAAACACAAGCGTTTTATATATAAATTCTGATGATTAAACTGGTGTTCAATAAGTAGGGTGTTTAATCATCCGTCTTAAACACGCAATGTTCATATGCATCAAATCACAAAATTAATTATGCGTTGCTTCTTAGTATTTGCTGTATGAATTTGTCATTTTACAATGTCTTAATTTATGAAGTAATTCCGCACATAACATTAGATATTTATCGACACAGAAAAAAAAATACGAATAGCAAGGGAATATGTTGACTTTAAATCATACCAAACGCATTGAGAATCAATATTAATTGGTAGTAATTTTGTGCCAAAATTTCAAAATTTTCAGAAACTGTTAAAGAAGAAATAGAAACAAATATTATGATATTTTCTATAATTGTATCAATATTTTAATCACCGGTGTTTAACAAAAGTGTTCATTTCTTATAAATTAAACACATGGTATTTATAAAGAAATTGCAAATTAAACACCAGTGTTTAATTCGTTATGATAGAAAATGACGCAGTTGATTATGTCATAACATGCCATTTGAACGCAGAAGATGCAGAATCACGCACATACTGACAAGAGACACCATATCTAGCCAGGAAATAGGAGGTATTTATACATTTCTATACATAAAATCTTTTTAAAAAGAATGTTGAATACATTAGAGATCTAAAAATTTTTTTCATTTATGAATTGCAGGATTCTTTCCTATCGTTAGTAATCGTCTGAGTGCAATCCGGCCATGCGCAGAGGTAGTCATATAAAATGCTTATGTATAGTCTTGATATCTGATTTTTGCAGGGACATTCATCTGTTACTGTGAATCCTGAGAAGAAAAAAATAACTTGATAAAGGAAAGGGATTTAAACAAAGATCATACTTAACCTTGAGAGGTGAGTCTTACAGTAAAAGAAAAAGCCCCCCCCCCCCCCAAACACACAGACCAGTGGTTCTTGATAAATGAAAATTATCCAATTACATTGTAGGTACCTATCCATGCTAATATTTAAGCTCCTTAAGATGCAACAATACCACACTGTACACATGTGCTAGCTGCAGATCTGTAGCGTTATGGTTTTATGTATTTTCCTTTGACCAATGACTATATAATACATAAAACTATTACGCTACAGATCTGCAGTTAGCACATCTACCACCAATAATTTCATCTCCAGCCCGTACAGTACACATACATGTACATGCATTCTTTAAGGAAACTTTACTTTTTTGAGGGAGTGTGATATGTACATGATAGAAAATGCCCCGGGACAAGGTACACCCCCCTCTCTTAATTTTTGCTGTTGGGCTGCTCATACAGGTACATGAACATTTAACTTTTTTAGTGTACAGATTATACGCTTATACGTGTATGATTTACAGGTATTTGAATTGCAGATTTTTATTCCAAAATTGTGTCTCAGTATATGTATAATATAATTTAAAATGGCGTGAAGAAAAATAATAATTTTTTTTCAATTTTTATGTATTCTTTTACAGATAATTATCTGAATTTGCATAGTGATTATTTTTCCATTCATCTTTCAGGATATGAAGGAATTAGAACTACTTGGGGTGAAAACAGTTTTGGAGAATGGAAAACTGGGGATCATCATCCGTTGTAGAAGAACCTGAATTTTACCCACAACCAGAGGAGCTAGACTGTTTAACTCATATAGAATATGATATGGATATTAAGTACATGTACCTGTACATGTGCCAAACTCTTATTTTGTGTGCGTAAGGGTGTGTGTGTGTGTGGGGGGGGGGGGGGTTCCAACTACTTTCAGTGCCACATTTTACTCATACACTACTACATTACCCTTATTTTAATATACAACAAAAAAAGGGGATAGGGGCGAATATAAACATTTTCCATGGTAGAATGTAAATAGTGTGTTTGGACCTTCCTTCTCCCATGTAAAATTACGTGTCTGTATACATCTACTTTCCCAAAATATCCATTGTTCAAGTTCTTATGACATTTAGTGCCTCAAGCAGATGCACAACATACATAGAGAGATGTAACCTCTTTACACCGGCATTTAGGTATATTACAAGAAAATCGAAATATCTTTGATGAATTAAAAAGTAATAATATACAATTATTCATGATTTACTCCTGCGCTTTTCATACATAATATTCATGTAAAAACTACCAAAGCAGTTCATTAGAAAAATCCAACAACTGGAAAACTTATTTGGAAAGAAAAAACATTCACAAGCTCAAAAACAGATACCCTTTGCAGTACGTTACTCCTGGCTATTAATGCAAGGGTGATGCTTACAAGAAATAGTAATGTGGAAGACGGACTGGTAAATGGAGTGATGGGCTATATTTCTCACATATCATTTGAAAAAGAATAATCTAAAATTTCAGCTATAGGAGTGGTTTTTGACAACAAAAATGTTGGTAAAAAATCGGGTAAACAAACGGAAAAGGGCAATGTAGTTTTAGTACAGAGAGTTCAGGAAGAGATTGTTGAAAGAAAATCAAAGACATTTGTAAAACATCAATTTCCCTTGCGATTATCCTGGGCATGCACCGCTCATAAAGTACAGGGAATGACAGTTGAAAAAGGAGTGGTTAATTTAGACCGAATGTTTTCACCAGGGCAAGCATATGTTGCACTGACAAGAGTAACATCAAACAAGAGGCCCACGAGCCTTATAGGTCACCTGAGCATCATGCAACAACTTTCAAATGATTGAATTTGTTTCTTGTTTTAAGCTAGATGCTAAGGCATTCACAACTGGGGAAGAGGCACTCTTGCTCAACATAACTATGTACTTAGTTGATTTAAAACCTAGGAGCAGAGAAGAAGACTTTCAAAGATTTAATACATTTTCACTATATAAACAATAGAGCCCTGGCCTAACACCAGAACCCTTGACCCTGGGGCCATGAATTTCACAATTGTGGTAGAGGGACTCTTGCTCATCATAATTACTTACTGAATTAGTGTATTTAATACCTAAGAGCAGAGAAGAAGATTTTCAAAGATTTAATGCATTTTCATTATATAATCAATATAGAGCCCCGCCCTAACACCATAACCCCTGACCCTGGGGCCATAAAATTCACAATTTATGAAGAGACACTCTTGCTCATCATAACTATATGCTTAATTAGTTTATTTAATACTCAGGAACAGAGAAGAAGATTTTCAAAGAAATAATGTATTTTCACTATATAATCAATAGAGCCTGTCCTACATGTAACACCAGAACCCCTGACCCTGGGGCCATAAAATTCACAAATGTGGTAGAGCCACTCTTGCTCATCATAACTATGAACTTAATTTGTTTATTTAATACCCAGGAGCAGAGAAGAAGATTTTTAAAGACTTACTGCATTTTCACTATATAATCAATAGAGACCCGCCCTAACACCAGAACCCCTGACCCTGGGGCCATGAATTTCACAATTTTGGTAAAGGACGCAATGCTAATTACAATTATACCAACAGTTTGACTGCTTGATGTCCGGCAGTAAAGAATAAGATCTTTAAAGATACCACTTTTTTTAGTGGTTTTTGCCCCACCCCCAGGCCCCAGGGGGGCGGAAACCACGAAATTCACAATTGTTGTTCCCCTTCACCCATAGATGCTATATACCAAATTTGGTTGAAATTGGTTCAGTGGTTTCAGAGAAGAAGCTGAAAATGTTTAAATGTTAACGCACAACGCACAACAGACGACGGACGACGACGGACAAAAACGGATAGCAATAGGTCACCTGAGTTTACTCAGGTGACCTAAAATGGACTGTTAATCGAAACTAATAATGTCCAAGCATTGCAAAAGAAATGTTATGTTGATCCAGAAGTGAAACTAGCACTCGCTGAAATGCCCAAAGCAAAGCCTTCAACATCAAATACAGAAGAAATGGGCTCAAATACAATTATTCTACACAATCTCCAAAGTTTGACTGGTCATTTTTCTTATTTAAAGCATGACGTTCGATTTTATGGAGCAGGAGTTATTTGTTTGACTGAAACCTGGTTAAGACCTGATCAAAACACAACAGAATTTGACATGGAAGGATTCTCCTTTAATCATACACCAAGAGGAGATGTATATGATGAATGCAATGAACAAGTACAAAAATTCAAAGTTTCTAAGGGTGGTGGTGTAGCACTTTACATAAAACGAAATCAAAATCAGAAAATAGTGTGGCGGCTGCCATTGAAGAATGTGGAAGGAATGGCAGTGACATTTGTTGAAAATGATACAGTTGTCGTTACTCTGTACCGTCAAAGCAATCTTGGTGTGGCTTACTTTTTAGAGAAACTCAAAAAATAATAGAATATTTTAGATTGCAAAGCAGAAATGTCATCTTCGTTGGGGATTTCAATGAGAACGCAAGAACCCCAGGTCCAATTCAGACTTTTATGAATAAAGAAGGATTTCGACAGCTTGTTCAATTTTACACAACCAAAAGTTGTACCATACTGGATCACGTTTACGCGTCTGGACCCATCAAGGTGAATGTCGAGAGACTGCCAACGTATTACAGTTACCATGAAGCTTTAAGTATAACCTTCATTACAAATGGACAATCTACTTTTTATCATAGCAGATAATTCAGAATTATATATTGTTATTTTACCATGATCCACTGGAAATGTGAAATTTTAAAGATGTTTTCATACAAATTGATGTGTCTTTCATTTCATACTAAATTTGAAGATGGTTTATCAAAAAAGTCTTATGGTGGTTATGATGGTTCATTATAGGGGATGCTTAATTACTCTTTCAGGTATCAGATCCCAAAAATGGAATTAAGGGACTGGGTTAATTGTTTACTCCCCTTTCACAGACTTGTACATTTGTAAATATTAGATTTCATTATTATCAAATTTTAGATTATCTAAAAATGTTTCATGGTTTAATATTTCTGTTGTTAATAGTTTAATATTTTTGAATAAACATTATTGTACTTTTCAGAAGCATTGTTGTATCTATGTATAAAATAACCCGTTAATGTTTGGCTAAGAAAATATAATGGCACATATCATGAATACTAAAGAGAGAAGGAACTACAAACTTAAGGATATAAAGCAATTAATTTTGCCTTTTTACTGTATTGATGTCTAAAAGTGTACCTTTGGCAGTCAAAATTAGCAAGCATTTATATATTCATAGAAAAATTCATAGAAATTTGAGACCCTCTTAGTGTCGTTATCTTTTAAATATGAACTGTTGCAGAATAAAAAGAAATAAAACGAGATTTTTTTGCAAACAACAATTTGATTAGGAAAACAATCTAATATATGTTTCCTCGATAAAATATGACTGAAATACTGTCGATTGCGCAATAATAATAATCAATCAAATCAAATCAAATATACTGCAGCTAAAAAGAAATGTTACGGACCATTCATGCAAAAATTGGTCAAAAATGAAATAGTTCTTAACATAATAATCCAATTGACAAGCACAAATTTGTTCATTTCTTAAAAAGAATAAGCTCATGGGAGTTGCAAGGAAAACACGAAAACTTGAAAAGTTTTTCATTTATAAGAAATAACGATAACAGCCAAAATACCCCTGAAATAGAGCAGAATTGATCTAAAGATATATATAAAAAATCATTCATTCAATGAAAGGTCTTTAATTACCTAATCTGGGCTGAATAAACAGGAAGTTATTTGCCACTAAAAGTGGAAGTTCCTTTAAATACCCTCGGTAGCTCATTTTGAACAAATACAAGTTTTCCTGTTGGAATATATAATTTATTTCATATTAAACAATCTCCTTAAAATTTATTTTTCAGTGTCTGATTCGTTGAACATCAACTTATCATTCAAAACCGAATTACAAATTTAGAAGAAGAAAAACAACACGCATACCGAAAATTATACTCACAAAACCTCAAACCTTACAGACAAAAGAGTAGCAAAAATGGCTTATTTTTACATTAATTAACATAAATTAAGGTGGTTAATGCATTTTTTAGCGTTATTATTCATTTTTGTTCAAAATGAAATTTACTTCCGGTTACTTCCGGTCAAACTGGACGGAAGACCTACTCGTTGCTTTGCAACGAGCTGTGCTCTAGTTATTATTTTTTTCTTCCATATTTTGTGCACGCGAGTTCTCGAAAACGCCTTGTTCGATTTTCATGAAACTTTCAGGAATGATAGAACATTAAAAAATCTAGAGATATATTTTTTTTAATTCGATGACGTCACTTCTGGTTCGCAGATTTCTGCGATTTTGTCATTTTTAGAGGGTCACTTTGTCCGGCAATATTCTCAAAAACCATTGAAGATAGAAATGTGAATTTTTGAGGGATGCTAGAGCAAACTTTGGAGAAGTGCCTTTTGTATATCACAACTACCGGAAGTACGAAGCACCGACGCTCGCTATGGCCCGAAAATAGACCTATTGCGAATTTCAAAATTTTTAACATCTTTTCTACGATAGCTTTTTACATGGAAATATTTTGTTAAAACATATAGAACAAAAGTAATGTAGAATTCCAAGATCTTTCAAATGATATCTTGCAAAAAAGGGCTGGCCCCTAAAATTAAGGGCCTAGAGGGGCCGACAGTTTTTTTCTTTATATCTCAAAACGTATCGAGAATTTGTAATACATCAAAGAAGCAAAGTTGTCAGAAATGTTAAGCTTTATCTTTTGGTGTCTTCAAAATACGTCC